TCACCATTGCGAGGAGTGACTAGGTTGTTCTTGACGCTCATCAGCTCAAGAGCCTCTGTTCGAGCCTCTTCCGTTTGAGGTACATCTAAGGGGAGATAGTGAGTATGTTCAGTTATTTTCGACCAGTTGTGTCCTTACGTATATTCATTTCATCTCCATCAAAATCCGCACCATAGGGTCCACAGGCGCACTCGTTTAACCTAAATGTCCGCCATGGTCTCACTTTCGCCTATATGAAAACGAGACGTAAGCTTGACCTCACTCGAAAGGCGGTGGGTACGCACTCGATGACACATGATTGAAAGCTGCATATTTGAGTCAGCACTTTACAAACATATAAGATAGATATCTCACCTTATGCAAACTTGGCTGTCGATTGAACAAAACGATGTCGCCGTCTATGACATGCCTCTCGACGATATCGCCCACAGCCAACCCATCAGCCACGGCATTTCGATTTCCAAACTTCAAGAACTTCTTGTTCTCTCCACGCGCCACGAAATTGGCTCCAGGATGCACATCAGTCCCATTCCGAATCGCCTGCTTTAACTTCTCCATATTGTGCGGCGTGACGCGCTCCGGGAATGTGAGAACCTTTGCCACTCGCTCCGGGACAGCAACCTCGTCGATGCGGAGATTGGGATCGGGCGAGATGACGGTGCGTCCAGAGAAATCCACACGTTTTCCAGACAGGTTTCCACGGAAACGGCCCTGTTTGCCTTTCAAACGTTGGACGAAGCCACGTATTGGTTTTTGCCCTGGTTGTGATGGGACACCAGGGAGTTCAGAGTTGACATACATCGCAACGGAAAGCTGGAGGAACTCCCATTGCTCCTAGAGAGGGGTAAGATGAGTTTATAAACGAGAAGGAAAATGACTAGGGTCAGACCATGAACTGGGGAGTAGGAGACCCCTTGGCAAGCCCTTGCTTGATCAGTGCGTTTGTGAAAACGATCTCTGTTAGCTTGACAGTGAGATCGTCTTCATTTGATGCACCGTCTTGCGCAACGGAGGGACGGATGCAGACTGGAGGTACGGATATGTACTGCCACACAAACTCTTCTGGCCGACCAAAGCTCGGATGCAATCCAAGGAGTTCGCAGTCCTAGCAAGAAGGATGAGCCGACGGTCCAGAAAGCGAAAACAGGTCAACACACCTCGTCAGATATTCTCCGAAACAAGTCCAACACCTTGAGAGGGTTCAAATCTTCGTGGACAGCTTTGTTGATATATATCGCGAGCTCCTTCTGCGCTTCCACGGCCGGCGCAAACGTCTTTTTCCATTTTTCCATCTCTTCAGCGGTCTTCTTCGCACGGAACTTGTCGTGGATAATTTTCAGTGCGCCAGCTTTCTTGACAGCGCCATTAGTAGCAGAGCAATATGGGCAATATACGCATTTTCGGGCCATCGTGTTCACAGCTTTTATCAAAGCCTGCCGTTGCATGTTTTCAAGGTTGGGGCGTCGGAACCGTTTAATGAATACTCGTCGGTCGGGTTCCTCCAATAATACGCGTGCGCATGTCTGCCGAAATCTTTGAGAATGGATGCGGGGATAACTTTGGGGGATAACTCACTTTACAGATGGCTTGAAGGATGCCAATCGTGTGCTTGAAGTAGCCGATGTGGAATACTGGGACGACAAGCTTGATGTAGGCATAATGGCCCACACAATTAACAGAGGATTGTCCACAGGTTTCGCAAAACGCGTTCTTGTCGGTTGTTCCCTTGCAATACACGGTAAGAACTACGCTTTGGCGTAAAAGTTAAGATATGACGCACTAGCCGACGGTCAAGCACCCCATCTTTCACTGGCAAGCGATCTGTCGCGGTATAGAGATCTCGATGTGTAACCTCAAACTCGGATATCTTTACAGTGTCCTGTGCATTGAGCAAACTGAACTGGAGCTTCTTGCTGTACGTGAGACCATGAGCAGCAGAATTGTTTGTCAACGCAGACCAATACATACACGATCTTCGGCGCCTGGTGTGATACTGCTTCCTTCATCCTAACCGTCCCTCCAGTTTCTTCGCCGTCCGGATGAGTTAGCCTGACTCGATCCTCGTGTTAATGGTGCTCGCTGAGGACCAGAACGTCCTTAATATATCGCCCAAGTCGTAAAAGGTCGTAAGACAGAGGGAAAACCGCTCAGGCGGCGTACAAGAGTGTCGATGACGGCGGCTCAATCCTGAATCCAGAAATTATCGGGTCGTGACGTGACCGTGACACGATCGCGTGACGACTTGCGCGTCCTTGCTCCAGGTCTTGTCAAGTCCTCGTCCTCTCCACCATGTCAAGAACATCCTACGATAGGTTTGACCTTTGTTTCAACACTCTGCCTATATTAATTGCTCAAAATACAGATACCTTACCGTCTTCTCTCCTGAGGGCCGACTCTACCAAGTCGGTGAGTGCTGAATGATCTATGGTCATTTGGGATCTTAACCTCACTTACTCTGATCTGTTAGAATATGCCTTCAAGGCAATATCAGGATCGGGACACACGGCAGTGTCTGTACGTGGGAAGGATACTTCTGTCGTAATAACACAACGGAAGGTCCCTGTGCGTCTCGATAACTCGTCCAATATGGTTCACGACTGACAAGCCTGTGGACAAAGGACAAACTTCTTGACGCGTCGACCATTACCCATCTATTCAGCATTACACCCACAATTGGATGTGTGATGACCGGCCTTGTCGGTGCGTATGAGCTCGCCCATTTACTACCCTTCGACTCATCCCCAGTTGTACAGCCGATGCTCGTGCCCAGGTCACCCGTGCTCGTTCAGAAGCAGCAGAATTTCGATACAAATACGGCTACGAAATCACGCCCGACGCTCTCGCACAGCGCCTGGCCAACATTAACCAAGTGTACACGCAACGCGCGGCAATGCGACCACTAGGGATATGTATGTCATCTACACATCGCATATTCTTAAACTCAACTCATCTCACACATCTCAGCGATGATTCTCATTGGTATAGACCCTGAACTCGGCCCTCAGGTCTTCAAACTCGACCCCGCTGGGTACTTTGTCGGCTTCCACGCGACAGCTGCTGGGCAGAAACAACAGGAAGCGATGAACCACCTGGAGAAGAAGTGGAAGAAGCTCGATTCGGGACGGGGTGCGGATGATGCAGTAAAGGCCGGGAAGACATTGAGTCGGAACGAGGTCATCGAGGTGTGTACTTTCTTCAATGTATCTGCACGTATCACTCAACTCTTCACAGATGGCGATCGAGGCCATGTCAACAGTCCATGCGACGGACTACAAACCTGGTGAAATAGAGATCGGGATCACATCGACCAGCACAGACGAGAACGAGAAGACACGGGGGTTGTGGCGCGTCATGGGCGAAGCCGAGATTGAGGAGCACCTGTTGGCATACGCCGAGAAAGATTAGCCAATATACCGCTTTCCATTTGTCTCTCGCTCTGACGTGCCGAACTAAGGGTGGTACACTGTATGAATATTACAATAAAATAGATCTACGATTATGAGTCAGTTACTCGGTAATTAGTGAAGATAAGGCCTCCCGTCTGTAAACTACAGCTATCCATCGTGTCTCTGTAAATGGTGTGTTGGCCCTTGGCCGTCCTCTGCTGATACTCACGATGTGTACCAGGCTATGTGTAGACGATCCAGCGTTTGTGTTTGGCTACGGTGTTCACAGAATCCACATTCTAGAACGCATGGGCGGCGCAAATGCAGATGCTCACACAACACGCCGTTGGCCGCGTGGTCGAAAACCTTCTAGAGTACGTGAATATAGAAACGAATCACCGGGAAGCACCGGGAAGATTGAGGACCGTTCATTCATGGTCATCTCTTTTGGCGACGAGACATTCGATGAGTCGCGAAGAGCTGGAGAATGGGAACATCCCGACACCCGCGTATCTCAAACGATCAGAAAGTGTTTTCTATGGATCTGCGGTATTTGAGCTCAACTCGTGGTAGGGCGCTAATGACGACATCGAAATGGAATATGCGTGAACATACACCGCCCACCCTCTCCGAGTCTCATGCAGTCTTTAGCCGCCCTTGATTAATGACAGTCATCTTACCCCGATCATGCTTCCTGCACTTCGCCGACTTCCACGCAACAGCTGATGAGTAGTACTCTGAGTAGAAACAGGTAGAAACAACAGGAAAGACCTCGGAAGCTGGGTTCCGAACGGGATGATGACGGTCCAGTACCGAGAAGACCAAGGTCATTCAACCCGGTGAATTGAGATCGGGGTTACATCGACCAGCCTAGACGAGGACGAGAAGGCACGGAAGGTTATGGCACATTGTGGATGAGGCCGAGAAAGATTGGCCAATCTCGCTCTGAATTGAGGGTGGTATACTGTATGATATTGCAATAAAATAGATCTATGATTAAGTAATTAGTGTAGGGATGCGCCGCCGCTCTATCAAGTCCATCGACATCATGAGTATTGCTCGACGGTGCAGTATCAGACAGCTCACCAGAATAGCGTCTATCTCTGCTTCCTCAATATCCTGCTTCCACAGTCGTTCTGGCGCATCCCAAAACTCGCCCAGCACGGATTTTGAGGCAAGCGTGGTGGAAGCCGTTGGGCCAGAAGCTTCAAACTTTTTCACAAACTCTGCAAAGCGACTCTTGAGCTCGGCAGGGGCTGCTGGGTGTGCATGTGGTGTGCTTGGTGCTGAGGATGCTATATCAAGACACTTGACGACAATGACGAGACAAGCCAGCTTACTGTTGGGATACAAACGCTTTCCGAGGAATTTAATAAGTGGCTGGTGCACTCGAGAAGATAGGACGCGGAGAGACGGGTGCATGGTTGTCGAAGGAAGCTCAGGAAGAGTAGTCGGATATCGGATGTCGGAGCCGCCGGAAGTGATTGTTTGTCAAAACCGTACGGAACAAATACGCTCTTCCGTCAAACCTTCCGCGTCTTCTCGCGTCAAAAACTCGCCATTGCGCCAGTCCTCCCGACCTTTGGAAAAGAATAAGAGCTCAGCAAAAGGAACTGACAACTGTGAGATTCGAACTCACGCCCCGGAGGACTAGATTGGTTTTATGACCTGATTCTAGCGCCTTAGACCGCTCGGCCAAGTTGCCTTGTGATATTTACTAAAAGAGATGGAATATATCTAAGTATTATTGTACAGTCGAAACTCTCATACTCCTTCCGTGGACACCCATAGGTATGGGTTATGAGGGATTATGGGTTACGAGAATGGCACTAAAAATGCCTCTAAAATGGTTGAAATTCGATGTATAGCCGTTGTTACCATGTTACTGTGTATATTAAAGCCGCTGAGAAGGCAAAATGGGGTCGAGTTTTCTGCGAACCAACTCGGTGGATCGAAAATCCTATGGGTTACCGGAGATTATGGGTTATACTACCTGTGGGGTAAGAGAGCTTATGACAATCGACAAAGCTTGACCAATGACTGATTTATCTTCGACCACTGCAGTGATACATCAAAGATTCATCGTCGATATCCATCAACAATCGTCTACTCATTCATCTTACTATTTTCTAGCCAACTTTAAGAAAGGCCCTCATTTAACAAGGGCTTTAAACGGCTGCCATTGCGGTGCCAATGCCATAACCAAGGCGGACCTAGCCTCGCTCCACGTGTCACTCTCACATAAGATCTGTTTTCATTTGCTCAGTGCTCGCAGCTCGATTTCAGACCGTAACGGACTCTGTGACTTACCACATTGGCACGGTTCTTTTGACCTTTTGTACTCGTCTACCTGGTGAGCTGCACGACCGTGTAACACCAAACTACTCGATACACGGCGCGGCGCCGAGTCTCGGTCGAAGCAATCAAAATGCTCAAGCTCGTACACGTTCGTATCGTTCTACCTGCTTTTTGAGAGATGGCCAAGTGACCTCCCAACCTCCGCACCGAAGCGAAATCAAAAAGGCGGGAATGGCAGATTTCACAGACCGTGGAGGGAGTTCCAGGGACTGAAATCCCCGGGATGAAGGTGTCGGCACCAAAACTTTCGAGCATGGTGCTGTCCGTAGAAACCCGAACTTATCTCATCGGGACAGCTCCCAGGAGGGCGGCCTACAGGTTCCATACTTTCCTCAACACTGTGCTCGGTGTAGGGGAACCGCATACCCCGCAAGGAGGTCTCTTGGCTAGGCGACGACAAAGTCCGGTGGACACTTCCTCCAGCTGCTTGGTGGGATCCCCCGTCCCGCTGTCATCCCCCCTCATTCCAGTCTCAGTCAAAGCAATCAAAGGCTCGTATCATTTTGTATCGTTCTAACTACTTTTCGAGAGATGGCGGTGGCCTCCCAACCCTCACATTGCATCGAAGTAAAGAAAAAACGACGGGAATGGCAGTATCCACAGAAGGCAGAGAGGTGTATGTGGTTCCAATGTTCCAGGGATCGAAACCCCCAGGATGGAATGACCAGCGCCAAATCTTGACCTGGTGCTGACCGTGGAAACTTGAACTTACCTCACGGTGCTAGCTCCCAGGAGGGCGGCTTACGGGTTCCAAACATTCCCAACACTGTGCCCTATGTCGGGGTGGCCGCGTGCCCCACAAGGAGGTCTTGGCTTAGGACGCGACAAAGTCCAGGGAACGTTGCCCCCCCGGTTGCCTGGCGGGTTCCCCCGTGCCGTTCCCAGATGCTGCCATTCCGTTAACAGGGTGTAGAGCCCTCGCACGGTGGCTGACCAATTTTCGGATTTTGTTCATGGCACGGGGTAGATACAGCAACTTGCAAATTCCCACGACATCCTTGTAGCTGGCTCCTCATCCTAATAACTCAATAAAACAGTAGGTGATCATAGAACTCGCCAAAATCAGCAAGGATAGAGTTGCTTTGTTTGCAAGCAGTTTGCATCAAACTTTGCCTTTGCCTTGCCTGCGCCTATTGATCGGAATGAATGGATCCGCGTATTCCTTTGTTGCTGTAGCCTTTCTATCTGCGTGTTTTCGCTTGCTGGCTGGACATCGATCGACCCTGATGAACCGGGAAGTTATACGCTAAATCCGTACTGTGTGTCTTGTCCATTGACTTCGAGCCTTTGTTTTCAAGAAACGACACAACAACAATGTCCTGCATCCGCTCCTTAAGTCTGTCTGCGCCTTCGTACCATTTCCAGAAACAGCCGACCCCATGGTTCAACAGGTGCAACATTCTCAAGACATGTGTCGAATGACTTCGTGTCGCGCTCCCGCGTGGCGGTCAACAAACCACAGCACAGCATAAACGTTCATAAGTAGGAGAAATGTAGTCCACGTTTATGCGCCGTAGAAAGTGAGTGTTTATAGTAGGCCCCGTTGACTATCCTTCAGCAGATGTCAACACTTCTTTGCGATCTGGGAAGCTGCTGCCATAATCATTGTCAATGATTCGAAATCTGCCTACCGATTTTGGACTCCGCACCATCCACCATCCTCATAATCCTTCAAGCCACCTATATCTGCCCACCCACCATGTCGAACGCTCGTTCCTTCAATAACAGGGACCCAGCCCGGTTCGAGAGTGGCGCCATGCGGCTCTTGAGCTCGGCAAGGGAAACGTACATTTTCCCCAGTCATCTGCTTCCATATTTACGCGAGGCGCGCCATCTTCGCTTGAATGACCCTGATCATCTATCCCAACAACTCAGGGTATATGACGGACGACCACCTTTCGAAACTGTCTTCCGCGTACTCCAAGCCATGCACCACCCCACTTTTAAACTCAAACATTATGTTGTTCGTCCCACCAATTGGCTATCAACGCGTCCTTCATATCAGCTGACAATTATCTCGTAAAACAGGTTGAAAAAGACACTCTATTGTCTCATGAGGGACTCGACCTCATTCTCAATGCCGCCTCCCGATTAGATAATTCATCAAACACCACAGTCGAGGACGACTACATCGAGGACGACCTGATGGCCATGTGCCAACTCGCTATTGAACGGGATGGGCGCAATAAGCTGACAAAATTCATTGAGCCGATTTTCGTGCCTTTGTTCATGATGAACGCCACGTACGTCTCCATCATTGCAGCATCACGATTTCTACTCATTCCTGGAACTAGGTCCCTTTGTACGACACAATTTCCTATCGAACCGACAGAAATTGGTACTCGGACCGCTATATCAAAGGTTATCGGTTATGAGATAGGTTTGGGCCGCCGTGGAGAGGAGGGAAAGGAGGGGAAAGATTACGAGGCGCCGACTGCGTCCGGCTCAAACTCTAAGGTAAGTAATCTCTGCCGTCACTCTCGAGGTGTCTCTGATGAGTTCCGATATTCTGGGCTACCAGCCGTCGCACCAGCATGCATTCACTTTCCAGTATCCTATGCCAAGGTTCGGAAGTCAAAGTCAGAGCCAACCAAAAGAGCGGCTGTCAGCTTCTGCACCTTAACAACTTCTGATTACACAATTGACACGGCTTCTTTTTAGCCCAGGACCCAGCACTCGTCAATTTAGATTTTGAAGACTTCCCCTGTTCACTAGGTGTGATGGTCTTTATAGCGGCTGGTTGTGAGCTCTTACACTTCATATACAGAATACCAAGTATTTGCCGTCATTACCCTTCCTTTGCAGCATTGAGGTCCCACGAGCAACATCGTCATTTCAATCTTTCTATCGTGTACAGTACCACTGTCTATCGTTCTTGTTCTCGACAAATTTTTTTACCTTACAAGTTTACCACCCCGTCCATGTATAAATAAAAATCGTCACAATATACTCCAGCGACACCCCCCAGGTTGTTCTCATGAACCATTGGTCAGTCGTCTAATCAGAGTATATCTTCATCATCCAATATTACGTTGCTGTTCCATGCCACCCAAGCGTCATTGGCGATGTTCTTTAATTTGGTCAGTCGATAAGATAAGATCGGTGTGACTCTATCATAGTGTTAGCCACCGCGTTGGCTTTACCGCTTCAACTTCAACATACACTTCCTTATTTTCCGTCGTACTTGGCTACACAGGAGGCCCTCACACCTCTTAAGCGACACATTTTCTTCTTCACGTGAACTCAACTATGGCACTTTTCGATCATCCTCGTCTCGCTCAAATCGCTGTCGAGGCGGTCAAGACCCTCTCAATATCGCCCGCGCCATTACTCAAGACCGCCCACGCCAACCTCAACCTCAAACGTGGGAAAGCGTCACTCTCGGGACGTAACGATGTCAGCGAATATTTCGGCGACGCCTTTATTAAGGAGTACATGACAATAGTTTTGAGACGGCGCAAATCTAGAGTAGCTGTGACTTTACGCTTTCTTAAGGTAAGCTGCCCATACATTAAAGCCCTCCTTTCCGATCTGATTATCTTATTATCCAGGTTTCCCGAGATGTACTCTGTTCCAATATCGTCTTCGCCGAGTTGATGCGCCAGGGGGAGATGTGCTACCCAGGCACTAACATGGCGAGCGTGGAGACGAAAGCCTTAGGCGATCTATTCGAATTCGTCGTGTTCAAACTGGGCAAAACCAACACTTACGAAGATTCCGTGTCTGCCATCCAAGAAACATTCGACGGCCTAATTGACGTTTTTGAGACTGAATTCTATAAGCATGATGGGTACGACGTGTCTCAATCTCACCTATCTGCCCACTCTGACAATTTCTAGCTCAAACAAAAAGCGGCCAGCGACTGAAGGTGCTACTGAAGGAACTTCAAGACCCACCAAGAAGAAGCGTCGCCACGCCGCTCCGAATGCGAAGGGCAGACAAATCCGTTTCAAGAAAAATCGCCATTTCGAGCCGAACGAGAATGCCCATGCGAGCGCGAAGCAACCTACTGCTCAACCCGCCCGGCCCAAGGAACAAGTTTTCGGCAATTCATCACTGGTTGACAGGTTACCGCTGGTTGAAGTCAACCCCGACCCAATGTACAACTTCTGGGACTTTGTCGGCTCCACTTTCAAGTCCCCCACTGGATCGACAAACGGGCCTCGGGATAGCACTGGTGATCCTGAGGTGAGCGAGGCGTGGTGGCTGAATAGCCTGGATTGGCCCGGGGAGTATTATCACTATTGTCTCTCAGTCAAGAAGGCTTCTCGTGTAGACTCGGATGATGCTTCCTACTCTCGATCCGACAACTTTGGAGATCTATCTTGCGGTGGTGTCTCTGGCCAA